AGCAGTTACGATCCAGTAATAAAGAAGGAATCACTTACCTCTTTCCAAGGATCAGGACTCACTGAACACTCCAACAGAGACAGTCTCCAAGTAGACATACTTCTCTTGCAGGTGCTGGGCCTTAAATGTGGTTAGGGAGGGGGTGGACCCGGGGGTCACACACATGAATTGCTTCCACCTGTGCTCCTAGGGCTGGCTACACCCCTTCCCCAGGTGCTCAATCACTGGTTCAGGTCATGGTCTAACAGTTGCCATCCAGTTTGGTTGATAGAGTTTGTTGTTCAAAATGTCCAAGTACAGTAAATAACATGATCTGGTGTTAGCAAGAAAATATAGTTTTGTCTTTTTAAAGGGCAGACTTTTTAGCAGTATATAACTCCGTAGTTAGAATAAATGGATTAAATGTGATGCATTAGTTTATAATTAAGATATCTATTACGTACATATAGCAGGTGTGAATATAACCTTTTCTTTGTAAATATGAAAGGACTGATTGTCTTTCTGGAATAGATAAATTTATGGAATGAAAAAGAAAGTGCAGAGAATAACAGTCAATAAACTGAATAACACAGACAACAGAATTAGCTACAGGCATAAATAACTGCATGGTAAGGGTAATTTGTTTTGATTTGGGAAAAGATATTTGCACTGAACTTTCCACTTATTAATACTCATTAGAATATATACATGTATACTTCATCTATGCTGAGGAAATCAAAAACTATTTTCTAGAGTTACAGTTTTCTAAATGAATTGATAGAGTTGGCTGTGTTTCAGAAGAACTTACCATAAACAGAATTTATTATGAAATTGAGAGAGAAAAGCCACACAAATAAGGTGATATCAAAACCAAGATGTTAGCATGTTAATAGAAGTTCTCTGAACGTGTTAGAAGAATTAATGACCATTTCAAGAATGTTTTGGTTTGGGTTTCTTGGTTTGTTGGTTTCTTTTGGAATGTGTACAGTTCTAAGAGTACTGAAACTGTCACAACAAATTATTCTCGATCACTGGAAATATCAGCTCATTCTTTCAGTTGGGAAATCGATGGCAAATATGTCGATTATCTCGTTGAAAGAGCTCAGGAGTCTCCAGTTCTTCACAATTGCTTATATTTGAAAAGCACTTCTGTTCTAACAATCAGATTTCCTGATTCTCTTTTAATGAACCTGACACCAATCGTACTGCCATTCTACGGATACTGTTTAAGAAGAGTTTAGTGGGTGGTTTTTTGTTTCCTTATTTGTTTCCAGAAAATGATTACCAACATAGAAAATTTCAGTATATAAAATGAAAGGTGGTTCTTCATAACTTATTCTCTAAGCCTAGGTAGCATATTTCATCTTTTGTTCTGTAGATATTTGATTGGTTATCAATGTAACTGTTTCAATGATGGCAAAGTACAGTGCTCTGGATTTCAGATGATCAGGCAACCAGTTCAGTAGCTCCAATTTACAAGTATTATGTAAAATAAAACATGAATGAAATAGAAACTGTCCCTGAAAAAGCAAATTTGAGAATCTGTGACCATGGCAAATCACAAAACCATTGATACTCTTTTGCTCTTTCTGTCTCTAAAATGGGAAGATGTTGGTACTACCCAGTATTTATGAAGACCATCACTTTTATAGACAGGAAGGCTCGAAGATGACTAAAATTTAATATGCTAACATACTAATAGTTAAAATATACCTGTCTATTTACTGCCTGGATTTTGACTAGGATATGTGGAAATTTCTGTGAATAATAAATTGTATGGCAATTGTATGCTTCTTGCATAGCAACGTTAATAAAATACCCACTTTCCTGTTTGGTAAACTTTCAGGTTAAGTCATTTATAAGAAGAAAAAACACTTTCATTTTAAGAACAAGTGAGCCTGATAAATGAAGTATTTCTTCAACAGTCCAATGTCATTTTTTCTGAGTTCATTTTAAGCCTTGAATTGAACATTAACAAATGGTTATAAATGATTATACATACAACAAAGTGAATAGGTAATCTGAGAAGATGAGTTTATCTATACTCTTGGGTAGCTGTAACTATTTACTTGCAATCTGGCTACAGTTACCATTGTGAGGAGAATAGTCAATCAAAGTAGAATATATAAAATAAAATTGAAAATTGAATTGGAAGGTAATTTTACTTTCAAATGGTTTGCAAATGTAGATGTTAAGTGTGAAATGAATGCAGTTAATGGCCGTAGCTGGGAGAGTTATGCACCTGCTGATCACAGGAATATTATTATAAATGAGGTTGATTTTCCTGTTGACTACCTCATTTTTCTCAACATGGTCTCATTACTTTTCTATCACGTCTGACCCTTAGATATAAATACTCAAACACAGATGTTGTAAAAATATATTAACTCTTATATGGATTTTTTAATATGTCTTTGAAAATCAGGAAGCAGTGTAACTGAAGAGTCTGTAAGTTTTACCACTTCCTGAATAATTCTCTTTTCTCTCCCAGCAGATAAATTATTTTATAGAATTTTAAGACTATCTTCTTTCTTCAATTTTGCCCCTTCTCCAAATGTTTCACCAGATTTCTGCTGTAGAATATAAATATTTTTATTGTTTTAAATTTATTTACTGAAATAAGTTTTAAACTTCTTTCGGTGTGCTTATAACTATATATCTAGGGTTTGCTTCTTCTTTATAGCATACATGCCATCACAAAAAGCATCTTATTTTAGATTGATGTTTCAGAGCTTGACATAAACATGCATATTTTTATCTAAATGATCATGTTTGTATTGCACTTTGGAATGTAACTAAGCTGTACATTTACTAATAGCCTTTTTACTGCAAAGGTACCTAATATGTTTCAAGAGGGAGAAAAATAAAAATTTTCATATAAACTATGACATTTCAACATATTCCTTGAACTAATATTATGAAGTGAAATAAAATTTCTCTTCCCAGTTATTCAGAGATATGCACAATTTAAGCTCAGGTTGGTACTGTTTTGTCATGACATCTTTTATATCAACATTTTCCATTGCAAATAACAGTGAGTTTCAGCAAGAACAGTCTTTTTGTTTGGTGCTCCTGCAACTACCTGATTCAACCTAGTTGCTCAGCTAACTGCATAGCCAAGACATTAGAGATGTTTCAAACAACCACTACTGCCATTCTTTGGAATTGTTTGGCACCTCAATTGCACAGCACTTCTGAGCAGCAAGATTTAGAATAGAGTGGAGAGTTCCTGAAAAATGCAGCCCTACACTTTCACTGAAGTGTATAAAAGAAGTGGAGAGATGGATGGAGCTGTGCCTGGATCTGGGGCGCAAGTTTAGCTGTATGGCCAACTTGATGATCTTAGGAGAATTATTGTTTTGCTCCAATTTCATCAAAAGTAAAATCAAGCCCAGAATCGTACCATTGTAAGACACTTTAAGATCTTGTGATGAAAGCACTTTTCAAGAGCTTGATGGTATTATTCATCCATTCATAAATATACATGCAGCTGATACTGAAATCTCCTGTCGATGGCAGTGCTGAGGATGTAATGCTGTACTCTGGCACAGAAATTATATTTCTTTCTTCAAGATGCATTCAGTTTATTTGTGGAATGACTGATCTCTCAAAAGAAACTGCTAGTAGACTCTTCAATTCTGTTTTGATTCACCAACCAGTCTTATGAGGATGAATAAATCAGGCTACGAATGGGAGAGTGAAGATCCAGCAAATTCTGGAAAGCCTCTGGACCTCTTTTACTTTGTGTGATGTTCACAACATTAGTGGGAAAATAGAAGGAACTCCCATGTTTTTATCCAGTAGAACCCTTTGGTATTCACTTAATTGCAGATGTTTTGTACTGAATGATGTCCTTTGCTGAAGTCTTGAATTGCCAAAAATAGATGTAAAATTTAACACACCAGAGTGAATGCCTTTCTCACTTGACCCCAGGAATCCTGAGAACATTTCAGAATGTTTATCAGCAAATTTTGGGTGACAGCATTTCATTAGTTCAGCAGCAGGTAGTCCTTACTAATTAAAAATATTCTTGTTTAAAAAAGAAAAAAGAAGTAATCTACAGGGTAGTCTCACAATTTCAATTTAAAGTCTCACAAGCCCAGAATTTAAATCATAATTATTTATGAGTAATTACTTTTTAAAAAAATAATAGTGACAGAAAGTTGTTTACAGTAATTATTTGTCACCTTCTCAGAGGGGCTGCTAATTATAGAGAAATATCCATCTGTTAGAAATGGGGTTGTTCAGAAATACAAGAAAGTTTACTGTGATTTCCCCACAGAGACTGCAGCCTTTAAAGTCTGTTGTTCAGTATCACAGAGTGGTGCTGTGGGGCAACATCAACGTTCTGCTGCTCACAGGACTTGAAGAAAGCAGAACATAAGCAGTCTCTTTTTCAGTTGAATGCAAACCTAGAATTTGTGATCATGGCTGCGGTCTAAATCTATTACAAGTGTTCAAATTCAGTGTCCTTAGTGTCATTGTGAGATGGCCTGAATAGTGAACGATGCACTTCAGTATTATGTTTTACACTGGAAGGTGTGTGCTCAGAAAGTGAAATGAACAGACGGCCTTATGTTTAAGAATGACAGAGGCTCTTTTCAGGAAAGGAAAGCAAATAATGTTTTTCTAGTTAGAAGGTGACAGTGTATCCCAAGATAACACAAGCTTAAGGGCAAGAAACAAGTGTGATTATTAAAGGCTACTGGGTTCTCACTTCAAACAAATTGAATTCTTTCATAGTCTAAAGGGCTATGGAAATCTAGGAAAGAGTGTAGACTGTTGAAATAAAATTAGCATGTAAAGTGATTTTATATATGCAGGAATATCACCACCAAGGTTGAATTTGAGAAAGAAATCTCATTACTCATCTTGTAAAAAGGAATTCTTAAATTCTCTATTTGCTATCACTGACACAAAGGTTCTGCATAAGAATAATAGGGCTTTTTGTGATTGCTAAAGATACTGGGTTATTGAATTGACAAAGATCCATCCTGTTCTCTCCTGCTTTTATTTTGCAGGATAACTGATTTAGGAAATATTAAAAGAAGATTATATTTATCAACAGTCCACAAGGAGTTGTCTGTAACCCCTCTGCATGCAAAAATTCCTCTGTTTATGATCAAGCGCAAAATAGTAGGTACTTGGGGAGTGTTCCTTTAACTGTGGGTGAGCAGACTTTTTTATCAGAAGGATTTTATATAAGTCTACAGACCTGTTGAAATTATTGTTTGCTTCAGCGTGCAATTGATTCACAATATGTGTGTACTGGATGGTATCAGAGCCACTTAATACTGTTCTCCAAGATTAATGCTGTTTGTGTTGTGTTTATCTGTCACTTTTACTGTCTATTCAGCCTGTGGCCATGTCTCTCATTCTTCTTTATAGTGCTCCTGTTCACACGTACCTTTTCCTGTAGTGACCTTTTATAACATTTGCTGGAGCTGCAGCTGTCAATTATAGTTGATGACTACTTTCATGTGCTCCAGGTTTCTCCAGTTTCTAGAATATATAAAACACTATATATCAGCCTGATGAAAATAAAACAGTAGCCGTCACATTCTCCCTATTTTCTCCCATACTCAGCTAGGGCATATGATAATACCTGTCAGGATAGAAAACCTAGGAGGTTACCATATAACCTCGTAAAAACTTGAGTCTTGAATACCTCTTTAGAAGAACTGTTAGAAACACAGGTGTGAGCATAGCTCTTCTTAAACACCTCCGGCTCTATCTGGAAGACATAAAGCCACAAGAAGACATATTTTGTTAGTTCTCTTTTTAGTATTACTTGCTTTATGCAAAACTTTTTTCCTAGGAATATACTGAATTTTATTGTGGCCCATATCCAGATAGATACTGTAGCTGCTCATTTCTGTATTACAAAAAACAACAATATGCAAGTGGAAAATGTTCATTAAACATTTTTCTCACGAGTTGCTTATTTTGAAATAGCTGCAGAATGTATTGTGGGTGTGGTAGGGAACTGAGCTCACTTGAACTGACAGTCACTAGGTTGTATGTAGTGAGTTGCTTACATAAATAGTTATTGCACAAAAATATCTTTTTGAATATCAAAATGTTATGCACTGTGGGTCACGGCCTGCAAGGATCTAATACTCCACAAAAGGCTTCATTTGTTGAGATCTGTACACTAATACACTTCTGCAGTGATTAGTGTTTGGGTTTTATTAAATAATTTTGCTTCTTCTTTCTAGTGGTGCAATTTGTGTATTGACCTGGTAGCATTCACCAGTGAAATATTCAGAGGAGCCATCTTCCAGTCCTTGGATGGAATTATTATTTCAGCTAACTGTAAGCTGAGGAAGATCTTCACGTTAAAATCCAAGCCTCAAGATACAGCTGAAGAAAATGGTGTGTTATAATTGCTTTCTAGACTTAATCATAGCTGTTTATATTATAAAATCAAAAGCTTCCTGGTCTTCAGATTTACAGCTTGAAAAATTATCTGACTACTTGAAAATTAAAGGAATGGGACAGTATATTAAATCTGTTCAAGGTGGACTTCACATGACAAATATATGAATGTTCTTCTGCTTAAGCATCAACTTCATTAAAAGCATCTTATTGAAGGAATTCTGACAAGATTTGTCAAGTAGAGAACATTTTTTTCCAACAGTGCTGTATTTTTTTTCTTTTCCAAGGGAGAGAACTTCATTCATCACTGGAATTTGCAGTAATAGATGAGGAACTGAAAAAGCACAACTGACATTATTTATTTTAGAAGAAAAAAAATAGGTCTAGTTCAGCATTCAGAAATGCAGTTTCACACATTTTGTATCTTTCAAAGGAAACTCCAGAAAAAAAGGGCTTGGTTTCTGAAGGAAAAAAATGTTTAGCAGGACTGTCAATGTAACAAAATGTGTCTTGCATTAGGAAGACCTAAACCAATAAGGGAGAGTATGTGATCATTGTGATTACTCCCATTTTTTTCTTTGTTTGTGAGCTTGGAAAAAAATATTAATTCACTAAATGACTACAGAGAAAACTCAGTAAATTCTCAGTGGAAGCTGCACTGAGAGGCGGTGCTGGCTTTAATTTAATTTAATTCCATCAGCACTTTTTTTTTTTTCTCTTGTCCATTCTAAACAGATTTTGAAGTGTACATAAATGGTCTAAATGAGTTCTAGAATTCCAAAACATAGTTAACATAATGAGTAGACAGCTTTAATGAACTGTATGCATGGTAAAATATTGCACTTTTAATTACTGGATTATCATTTCTATGATTATTACACAGCTGGTGGGCATTAGTATTTTCTGTGTGCTTATGAATTTCCTTCTGTAGGCAAGGCTTCAAATCAGGTTTTAGCTCAAGGTTTGGCTGCATAAAAATAGCATGATATTTCATACTCAATTACAGAAAAACAATAAAAATGCTTTTTTTGTTATTAATTACTTTTCAGTTAATGATCATGAATTGATAAAACTTTTTTTCTTATCAGATGACTGGGACAGTTCAGTTTTGAGTGCAGTGATGGTGTAACTTGTGGTGATGGTTGAGCTCTTTGCTTTAACCTCCTCAGTGGTGGGAGTAGTGTTCTCAAGGTTAACGTATTACTCTTCTGTAGTACTTGTATATGCTGTGTACTGTATTCTTAAAATGATGGCAAGTAAAAAGGAGAAACCACTTTTACTAAGAAAGTATTTTTGAATGAGATCATTGAAATGGAGAGGGAAGAAGAATTAATTCCTTTGCCCTGTGGTATTGAGGCATATAAACTTGATACACACCTCGTTTCTGACTTCCATGTAATTCAAAGTTACATATGTTTTTTTATTGCTATGTATTGTCTCACTGTAATAAATAATATATGGGCTTGGTGAAAAAATAGCAGTTAGTACTCATCTTGGCTAAATAAGTATGACCACTACTGTAACATGACACAAGACAGCTGATTTTTTTCTATCAGATACTCAATTCTTGACCCATTATTTGTGTTTAGTCTTATAGTTTTGGAGTTATACTTTCCTCCTGTTCCAGGAAAACTGGCTAACATTCTTTAGCTTATTACAGTCTCATCTCACAGAAGCTTGTAAGAATTTGCATCCATACTTCAGGAAGAGTTCTGACTCTGAAAATGTTATTTTGTACAGAACAATTTTCATAAACTCAGTTTATATTGGTTCTGAAAGGGAAAGCATTAAGATCATGTTCTACTAGTACCTGCTGTCACAGGAAGAAATAGGTTTGACAGCTTTTTGGTTTAGTGTAGAAGTAATATAATGGTATACAAGGTTTGGAATTAAGTCTTGTCCAATTTTTTATTTGCATGTGCAGGACTTTGCTATTTGCTACTCCAGTCCCACTGATAGTTGGTTCAGAAGTTCACTTTGTCTAAAAATCAGCATATCACAATTAGAATGAAAACTATAATTGTAATAAAATATTAACAAAATGTATTTTGTGACTCTGTTTTACTTGTTCATTGACAAATCAAAGAATTTGTTTCACTTGGCTATTCCAGCCTTTGCTGATATTCTTTGGTCTAAAATCATAAACAATACCATCTTAAAAATAAGGATGTATATCCTCTTTAAAATTAAGAATTATAGCAAATGTTACAAATGACTGTAATGAACAATATGTGTTATCTAATTAACTAGAAACGTAAAGCCAATATTATGCCATTGTCACCTGTGAGTGAAGATGATGTGTTTTTATTCTAGATTCGTGCGTTGTTCCATTTACACCATGTGAGACAACAGATGTTATTCCTCGATCCTGCCAACTAAATACAGATGTGCCACAAGTTACACAATTGCTGAACTTGGCTAAAATTCACAAGCCAGAAATAAAATGCAGGAGTTCTCCAGTAACAATGCAAGAAACAGGTATTCTGTTGTTTTAAAATACTGTGAATGTGGTCCATACAGCATGCATACAGATAACAGATGTTTGCTGAGAAAGCATGTTATATTTTTCTACTGTCTTCAAATAAAATATAACGACTCTTAAATTAAACTTATTGAGTACAATAGTGTGAGTGATGTATCTAAACCACCAGCAGCAAAAAGTTTGTTTGAAGATAGAGACCTCAACATCCCTATCCTACGTGAAAGTGAAACAAATGAAATGTCTTCAGCTTAAAGATTAACCTTTATTTTTAACCTCATCTAACAAACATTGCATGTACTTCCAGACGTGCATTTCAAAGTTCACACACCAAGCTTGCTTGAAAATGAAAGCTTTGGTATGTTTAAGTAAATTTCAATTGGAGAATGGGTTTTTTAGCCACTAAACATTTTGTTTATTTGATATTCAAAAGACCGAATTATTTTTAGTCTCATCCACTTTTAATTACACATATTATTTCATTATGCCATCAACACACTGTTATGTGTTGATGTAGATAATTAATTGCAGTCAATTAATGTGTTCATAAACAGAAATTTTCATGCAAATCAGATTTTATAATTGGAGCTAACAACATCCCAAGGTAGTCAGCAAATTAAAGAAATTGATGTTGGGTCATCTAATCTTGTGAGATGGCAGCTGTTAGCAGGAACCAAATGTCACATCACAAACAAAGGAAAAAGCTAATGGCAGAAAGTGGCTTCTTTTGTGCTTATTAGTACAGTAATCTACAATGTTTGGTGATTAATGTATGATCTTTTTTTTCATTTCTGTGTTGGCAATGGAAATAGAACTTATCTAGAATGAATATTAATCAATACTATAAAAAGGCTTTAGAAAATCTACAAAATGTGTTTCTACTTGATTTCTCTTTTCTTCATGAAGATGTCTCATCTCAAAAGTAAGGTAGTAATTTTACACTTAAAGCTGTAGCAAGAAAAGAACCTTCACACAGTGCAAGTTTTAATTCTAAATTAATGTGAGGTTACACTAATTTATTTAGTAGATCTGGAAAGAAGAATCCACTGACAATCCTTTTTTTTTGCAGAACAGCTGGCATTTTTTTTGCTTGAAAAAATGATAACAGAAATATTTTAAATAGTAAAAAATATCAATAAAGGGCTATTACTTATTTATTAGAGCTGTTTTTTCTTACTGCCACAGGTTAGGTTTCCATTGAATTTCTACAGAAATCATTTAAGTTTTCTTGTGTGTTTCAGTGTAGCCTCTTTTTAAACAAAACTTTAAAGCAAGGAGATTAGAAATATGTCTGTATAATGGACCAAAAGTTTCTTGCTTGTATGTTGATACTCTTCCATAAAATGCTTATTTGCTTAAAGTAAAAAGATAGTGAACTTTGAGTACAAATTTCTGGGGATTGTGCTGTCAAGGAACATAATTTTTGTGTATGTCTAGGACTGATAGCTCTTTCATTTCTGTTGATTTTAAAGTTATTAATATTTATTCTAAGTACTGTAATATATTTTTAAAACTGATTGTTCTTTACTTAGCTCGCTTGGTTAATAGAAGGCAAGGCAATAAGAAGAGCAGTAAAACTCAGGATGTGTCACATATTGCATTTGGATCAAAGATCCTTGGACCACCTCCATCTTCAAACAGAAGAGTCAGCACAAGAGTATCTGGAGAGGTAAGAAGACTTACATTGCAACAAAACTTCTGCCCTTCTACAAAGAAAAGATTGACCAGTAAGAAGGAGACTTGCACCCAAAACGTATTTCAGAATTGATACGAGGCTACATCATATGTATGTGTGTGTGTAAATATTTTTTTCTTATGATGATGTCTTTCAAGGTAACAAAGACTGTGGGTAGCAAAAGTAATAGATCATACCAACTTCAAAGTTCAGGAAAAAGAAGTGAATCCCTACAAAACACTGAGAGACTGGAGCTGTCATTCTCACCATGCAATGATTCTTTAGGTCAAGGAGATAAAAGAAATACTCACCAAGCAGCTAAAGGTGTTCATCAAAATGGTAAGAGCCTAAAGGGAACAATATGTAAAGAACTCATCAAATTTTTTTCAGGATTCTGACTTCAGAGTGTAAGACTTAATTCTCAATTTTACTAATCCTTTACCTATCCAGTTAATTACTGAATACATTTATGTGAAATTATGGCTTATTCTCCTATATGATCTTGGAAAAAATGCTCGTTCTCTGAAGGTTTTGTAAGCATTTTGAACCAAGGACCACCACCTGCTGACAATAGCTGCAGGGTAAACATATTCCTGTCTACCTCATGCTGTGCATGTAACTGGGCTAGTGCAGTGATTCTTGATAACTTTGCAGGTTTTGCAAGACTATTTTGTGTACTTCTGTATTTTGCCCTTCTGTACACAGTGCTAAATTTTGACTTTATTTTGTCTGTCATATTCTTGCTGCCCCACAAATTCCTGTGCTGTTCAGAACATGTTTGTATCCCAGAGCAATGCCCTATGCTGTTCTTCCATACCTCAAGTAGGAAAAGCATACATGTTCACAGGTATTTGATACATCTGACTTGTATTTCAGACTCTGCAATTCAGACTCAGAAAACCTCTGAGAATGGAAGAACAGATTTTCAGCTCCCCTCACCACAAGATCCATCAACAGACAAGAACAGTCATAGAAGATTATGTCTAAAAAATGCAGAAGAAAACACATGGGAGATAACCACTGGTATGTTGCTAATTTTATGTTATTTTACATCTCAGTTCTGTGTGGGGCAGGGGACTATTTGTTGTAAATTTCAAAGGACTCGGAAGCAGTTCACATAAAATAAAAATGTATGTGCTGTAGGGATTATGGAAATCAAACACCCTGCAACAAAAGTGCTTCTGAGCACTGATAAAGATTTGTAGGATTAAGCAGAGTACCAGTGCATGAATGGATAAAAAAGAAAAATTCCATGCTTTCTTTATTAAAGGGAAAGAACTAAAAATATTTTTTTCTTTAAATCTCTATTAAATTTAACACTAAAGACTCCAAACATTGAATGTTTACTTTTTTCTTATTATTATTTCTGGATGAATGTGTTCTGATGAACTTCCCATAGGCAAATTATTCATTAAAGAAAACCTGCTATCCTCTGTTCTGAACTTCTCCAGAGATGACAGTGGGAAAATGGTAGGCATTCTTTGAGGAAAAGTTCACAGGGAAAAAAAGCACATCACACAAAATATGAGGGCCCTACTAATGTTAAATAAAATTACACCATCCAACATTTGCATAAAATACTGTACAAGTCCTTTACAAAAGAAAGTAAAACATATACTGACATTATCAAATGAGAAAAAAAAAAAACCAACACTCCTAACTCATCCTTACCAGCCATTTAACATTTGCATTCACATTGAATACCTAATACTAATAAAAGCAAATAAATAGTTACTGTAATAACTTGTATTGTAGTAGTTGTTCATGCACAATGTCAGGATTGTAATCCCACAAACCTCAGAATTTCATGTTCAAGTCAGGAAACTCCTAGCAACTGGTCTTGTCCAATAGCAAACATCCACAGGTTTGGTTCAACAGCACTGACTCAGCCAAAAGCACAGTTGTCACACCTCTGATGTGTGTTAACGTACATACACCCATGACAATTTGTTGGCACAAAGCCTTATTCCCTAAACAGGTGCAAAGCATATATGATTTTTGATTCTCCATTTATACAAAACAAATTGTAGCAACAAGAATCTGTCATTTACAACTCTTTTCTTATAACCAGACTCTTAGTATTCTTAAACCCTGTGCAGCCATCACCTTTGATCATCTTGGGACATCACTATACTTGTGCCATTAGCTTGAGTAAATACTAATTTAAGTTTCGTGAGTGGAGAACTTTCATAGGTAATTTTTTTTTATTTCTTTAGAGATTGGTCACTATAATTTACTGTATCTTCTATATTTATCACAGAGCTCAAATCAACAAACGTTCCATAGCAGGTACACAGTACTTTTATAAAGGTAAATTATTTTTAAGCAAGAAAAAAAAAGAAGAGTAAGCATTGTTTATAGTTTGTCAATCTTAAATATGCAGTGTTGAAACCTTCATTAAAATGTTAGGCTGCAATTAGAAGCTTTACCGTAAGTCTGACTGTGTAGAAGAACTAATTAGATGTTTAGGTGATCATTCTTGCATTTATCGTGTTTGCTGCAATGTTGTGATTACATAGCAATTTACATATTTTGCTAAGAAGATGCTCCAAATTGTTCATTACAATTGACATGTAAATGCTGAGTATAAAAGAAAAGTGCAGTATAGTTTGCAGTTGAGAGATAATAGGATTTGGTTTGGTCGAAAACTCTCCATATCTTTCTCATGTAGACCATTAACAAAATGGCACAGTGATTACAGGTTACTGAAGTTGCTGAACTCAATACCTCATGTAAAATGTCATTTGAAAACCTTCCAGACTTAAAGTTTTCTCTTGCGGTTTCACTTGTACCTGCATACAGCTTTTTACATGTAAATCCAATTACCTGGCTAATTGAGATATGTTTTCAGGTGAGTGTGACAAAGTGATCAAAGAGAGAACCTGCTCTTCTATCCTTTGACAAACTTGTAGTTATTGATCAAAACAAAAGGCCCTTGGATTTATACAAGAAAAGGGCGCTTCTTAAGAGCTATGAATGGCATCACTCATTTCTTGAGACTTAAAACAAACGGCATTATTTACACGTTCAGCTTGCAACTCTTAGAGTCCCTTACAGTTTAAAAGTGATGTCTGTATATTTACAAAATGCAGTTGGTATTGTACAGTATAATATTATCTAATTTAAAAAGAGTTTGCATGAAAAGCCTTGAGGCTTCTGACAACAGGTGCTCTTCATTTAGAGACTGAAAAATTTTCTCCTCTGGCACAAGTAGGTGCAAGCCATGAATATACAAGATGTGTTAAGTCCCTACTTTTCACCTGGTACAAACTGCTGTGTAGGATGCTAACCACAGTTCAATAGCTTCACTGGCTGTGTTCAGTAAACTGGAATAATCAGAGCAGCATAGTAAGAAGGCAGGCATTCCTGCCAGCATTCTCATTTTTCTCTTTCTTTTGCTTTCATTTAGTTCAAAATCTATTTTTTTTCCAAAGCTGAATCTGCCTAGAGTAATAACTGTTTCTAACAAAACTGAGAAAGAATCAAATTCCATAGTAAATTTACTCTGCTCTGTGACAGCAGGCATTTTATTATTGCAGTGCTACTTTATTATTAGGTTTTTAGTATTTTTTATTGAGGTTGTTTTTTTTTTTTTAATATGGTTGGTAACTTTGTTTTATGGAGCCAGAAAGTTTCCAAATCTAGTGAATAATCCACACCACACTACCTTTAATGAAGACAAGGGAGTATTGCATACTTGAGCAGTTCTCCTTTTCTCAGATGCTATTTGAGATTGGTTTTAATCAATCAAATTGACATTTTTTTTCAATGTCATCATTCCAAACAGTAAAATATAACCTAACAATGAGAATGTAAAAATGGTCTTTTCATGTTTATCTGGTGCACTCAATCTTTAAATCCATTTCTGTAGTTTATTGTTTGTTTTAAAATTGGCAGATTAGTACAGTCAGTGTTCAGGGAAACTCGGTGAAACAGATATCTTCATACATTTTTCATGTCATGCTGTTTTTCCAATAGAGCTATAGTTTGAAATTGAGATTTAAACCATAGGTTCTAGACATAAAAGAAAGTGTAGAAATTCAATAATAAAGAAGCAGCAGATTGCAATATTATGAACTTTCCACCAAGTATGTGTGATTTTTGAAAGGAAAACGTCAACCACAAAAATAAGCCTATAGAAAAAGATCAATTGCCAATTTTAATAAAGTTATGTTTTCCTGGAATGAAACTCATTTTCAAATCTTAACAGCTAGATAGTTTCAGCCTTGAAAATTACAAGTTTGCATGTCATGTGTTGTATCCTGTGCATTTCTTGAGCTGTGATCAGGAAATGTTTTGGTTGAGCTTGCCTCCCTAGAAAACAGCCTGATCTCTTTCATTGAACCTTCATCACTCTTCCAAATGTATACATCAGAATATCTGCATTACAAAAAAAACCTTATTTTTCCCTATGACTTCTAGAGAAAAGAGAGTGATCAGCATAAAGTATAGTTTATGTGTTTTACATTGTAGTTAATATTTTGCATTTCAGATGAATGGGTGTTTCCAGAAAGTTTCACTGAGAACATTCAGTTGGATGGGAGCGAGCAGCACGCAGCCACTCAAGATTCAGCCTGCTGTGATTTAACCTCACCAGAGACCACCTCTATTGAACATCAGCACAATGAAATGGGTGATCACGACATGAATCATAAAGAGATTTTCACATTTTCATCAAGACCTCGATCAGCTCCTCATGGGAAATCCCCAAATATATCACCAGAACACTGTATTTTCCCTCTGGACTTGAAGCAAGACAGTAACTGCATCCAGGGTGAAACCCAAACTAAAGATAACTTTCAAGGAACTGATGGTAGTGAAGAGGTAGGCCACTTTGTACGTGCAATTCTTGATAAAATAGTCTTTGTCCTAAAACTCCTAAGTTGAGATTCTGTCTTCCATGTAGACAGGGAAGATAAATCATCTTTTCCCCATGTACCTTTAAGTAGATTTGTCTCTGTCAACTTGCTGTATCTAACTGAATACAGGGGGGAAAACGAAGGCATTCCCTCTGTAACAAGAGGACAAAAGAAACTTAAGTCTCTGTCAGCCCTTATGCCAGTACACAGATGTGAGCATTCTTTGAGCATCCTTATAAAAGAATTTAGGAAAGCCTGCATCATAGATTTTAGCAAGACATGTTTGTTATGCTTGAATGAGTAAATAAGGCTTCATTGTGCCTTTCAGAACTGTAAGCAGAGACTGCTTTGCTCACCAACTTTGTCACACATTCTGGTGTATTTCATTTTTAATTACAAAATCTGTTTCCCAGCATTCCAATCTTTTCCTTATACTAAGGAGTAAAATACAACCAAGATACCTAACACTAGGACACACGAAACAGAAATATTCTTCAGTTCTGGGAATCTATATTCCTGATGCTAATTACAACAGACAATATTTTTATCAGGTTTTTTTCCTATGATTTTGTGGGTTTCCCCACTATCTGCAGCACTTAGGCCTGTGAGGCTTTGTTATTTCAACCAAGGTTTCAGAATTTCAGAGTTAGATCAGTTTTAGTCAGACTAGTAATTCACAAACAGTATTGTGTATGTGATAACATACTGAAGATACAGAACTGTTTGGATTTCAGATAATTTCATTGTCAGTTATCCTCATGTAAACAATCAGTGGCTTATTTTTGTGACATGCCCCACTAAAAGCTCTAGGCCTCAGTTCATCTGGCAGTCTGTTAATGCTGCAGCAGACCAGACTGAGGCTGTCACCAGGTGGCTGGCACATTGTTGGTTTGCTTGTATTGCTGGTGGATTCATTTGCTGCAAAACAAACAGAGTTGCAAAAGAGCTACGTCCTTGATGAGCTTCTCTCCCATTTAAAAATCCTAAAAATCCAAAGCACTCATTGCTTTTCCATTCAGACATTAACAGATGCCATCATCCATCACAAGAAGCTTACTGTCCTGGGATATGAAAAAGCCCACATGCTGCATAACATCACCAGTAATGCAGGAAAGCATGAGGTCCTTGATGGATAGACAAGGCCCAGTGACAAATGTGAAGCAGTGTGTGGTGTTCTTGGGTCTTTACCTTACCCAGTACTGAGAAAGATCTATTGCTCCTCACAAGGAGCTATAAATCTCACATCATTGCATGTTATCTGTAATGTCCTGCCATACTGTCATCCTGCCCCAGAGATTCAGTGCCAAGTGCAGAAAGATAAAAGCAATGACCAAACACTCCTGCCTTGACAGCACAGAAAGAACATTGTGGCACAACATTAATGATCATTTATAAGGCTGATGCAAGAGAGACTGAAAGAGTATTCCTATCTTGCCTACAAAGATTTACACTGCTTTGCTAACTTAAAACTTTCTTGGACTGTGTGCCAGAGTTGGAATAGAGCATAGACTGTTTCATTCACAGTCTTGGGATGCAAACTGCATTAATAAAGTCAATATTGCATCTGGAGATATATTACATTAAAAAAAAAAATCATAATTGTGGCAAACAGACCTACAGCATGCTGATTATCTACTATGTTAATAATTTATAGTTAGGCCATTCTACCATCTTAAAGAACTCACTGAACCAACAAATTACTTAGCAGACCTGTTTTGTCCATGTTCATCCTCTTCCCTGTACAGATGTGTTCTTTGTTGCTTTTTGCTATAAAGCTGACTAGCGTTACACTGATATTCTGAATACTTATTTAATATTCAAATTGCTGAAGACACTTTTATTTCAGGCACTGAAAATATGGGAAATGGGAGCCTGGAAAAGCCATGATAGTTAAACATAAGACCATTAACTTAATAGTAGCTGCTTTTAGCACAATTTAAGATATGTATGCAAAATTACCCAAATTCTTTAGCCAAATCATAATGTATTCCCAAATCTTGCTTACAGGACAAAACATTTACTTGCCTCAGTTATAGTGAATCTTGCAATGATTTTTTTAACAATGCATGTTAATCTTACATGTTGAAGTAAGCTACATTGTTACAGGTTCTTGACAGTACAATTGTCTTTCATTATCTTTAAGTATACTGGAGCTTTCTTTGAAATTCAGATGTGTTATGTTTCTGTAAAACATACATGGATATGTACTCTTGAATGAAACAAGATAAGACAGATATCTCCAATTACAACTCAAACAATTGCATATGAGCATATATTTTGTTATTCCTGAAAATAAGTGAAACTTAGTTCCTGATTAAAATAATTTTTAAAATAGGATGTCTGCATAGTTTAAGCATCTCAAACTGCAGAGAAATACAAAAGTTCCAAAAGTTTTTCTTGTGTTTTGCATCACTCTATCATCAGTTCTAAAATTACATTTAAAGAGGCCAAGTCTCAGTTTCATCACAGTGTACATTTGAAGTTAGTGGAGCTGCAAAGGAGAATTATGTACTTTTTGATTAAATCTGTGGAAAAGCAATATAATCCATGAAAAAGTAAAATCGTTGTAAAATACAAGAGACGGGCCATTGGTTTTGCACCAGGATAAATTTCAAATAAGTGCATATTGACTCTATGCTGCATGCACTGGAAGCTGTTGGATATGCATAACAACTGTGCTAGAATTATACTTCTCATGTAACTTTTGGGAAGGAAATGTTTCAGTGAGCAAGCTGACAATGGCAAATATTCATAAATTCCCTTAATCATTTATCAGTGAGTCACTAAAATAGTTAAACACTTCTTCAATTATGAGAGTCAATCAGTAAAGGATAAAAATCTCTTCCTGGTGACTGTGGTTGGTGTCCTCTCATGCTACATCTCGACGATTATAAGGCTCACTGCTGCCAAACTCCCTTTTGGCTGTGAAGCCTTCAGCAAAGAAACTTTCCATCCTTATGCAATTAAAAGAGTAATATAGTGAGATAATATGCTCTTACCAAAGCCAGTGGGCAATTTCACTTTGATACCTCAGTGTTAAAGCTCAGCATACAAAGGGACTATATCCCATCTGCTCCTCGTAGGTGGCCCTCAAGAGTGATTAGAATGATCTTAAAATTACATCTCAGCAAGTGCAATCAGCTTTATGTATCTAGCAATTGCCCAACTGCCCATCTGCATGGTTTTTCCTAGGAATACAGTACATCAGTGGAAGTGCTGGCTCCTCAGGGAAATCATTCTCATCTTCACTATACATACATGCATATGCTCTGCTGTAGATAACATAGCAAATTTGATTTATGTTTCTGACACCATATCATGATTTAATATATATTTAGGTTTTAGAATGATTTGTTAAATATGGCTGAAAGAGACATGGAAAGATGGGAAGAGTTTAGATTTCAGATAAATCAAAGTTAACAATTTATCTCTAGTGTAAAAAATGCAGTGCTTTCTTTAGTAATCTTCTGCCTCAAATTAGCCTAATAAGGGCTTCCAGCACAGATTTAGTGATAACATATAAGTAGAGAAGGGAAATAGAGTTGTGCGTTTCAAGGAAAGCAGGGGAACAGAACTTGTCCTGTTGTTACAAACATTCTGAACTGTGATCCAACAAAAATTCAATGAATAAAAGCAACACAAAACATCTGTAAATTCAATGACATTTCACCTATCTGTACATTTCACGCTGTGCCTAAAAAATGTGCAACAATTTAGATATTGTAGAAATAGTTACATTGGTGTATCTTCAGAGAAAACATGCTGTACATTCATTGTTCCTTTGTTTTCTGCAAACCCCAGACAGTGATAGTTTAAGGAATCCACCATGCTTACTCACCACTATATGTATTTTCTTATTCAATGTGTTATAAAATGCATTGCATTGGAGGCTCATGTTACATCTGCAAACCATTCTCTGTTGCAGTATTTCATAAATGAAAGACTGAGATTCTTTTTCCAATAATAATTTTTGAATGTGCATTTTGTGGAATCCAACCCTGGACACAGAAGTCAGTAGCAAACTTGGACCACACAGTAGGACTGGACCTTAGCAGTGAAAGGTGTATTAAAGATGCTCTGGTGTCTTACTGAATCTTGCAGTATCTGACATCTGGACTGGTAGCATCTGATACAGAAGCAGCACGATGTGATGAAGATAAGGCCTCTCTCGTCCTTTCTTCCATGAGAATAAGAACACTGAGGCAACAACGAAGCAAGTCTAGTGTTTATTTCCCATATGTCTGGATTTGCTGTTAACCATCGAGATGTAGCATGAGAGGACATCACACATGATTAATGGGAGGTTTTGCAGAGACACTGTTATGAGTGTGAATGTAAGGTTAATACACTAACTGCCAAAATTCTTCAGTGATACTCAGCTATCATCCAGAGATGAGTAAAGTGATCTCAGCCAGAATCAATCCTTGTATTTTTAAGTTCTGGGTGCAATGTGAAAATATAGAATACTAATAATTCAATGGAAACTTATTGTTATCATGGACTTCTTGCTCACTTTGTTGTACGTCTGTTATAAATGTTTTTGAAACTGATTATTCTATAACACATAGGTTTAAGAGGTTACCAGAATGCTAAACCTGGACTAATGTTTTGAGAAGTGTGATTTTGTCTCTCCCTCTCTCTCCTGTGGTTCTCTTAAGATGTAGAAGTGCTTGCGGGTACTCAGGGTTGTTGCCAGGAAGAGCAGATGGTTCTCAGAATTTTTTCAATTTGAAAGGAAGCAGTAGAAATTGGAGAGCCATTTTATAATCTTAAGGTCAAATATTTTGTGCAAAACAGTATTGTGTGATGGTGAGGGAAAATCACTTACTTTGTTTCCCGAATTTAGGACAACAACAGCGACTTCATCCAGAGTACTGAGAACCTTGAGATCAGCTGCAGCAGACAAGGAACATCTGATTCAGTAGTTTTTAAAGACAACACATTAAAGAGGATATCACAGAGAAATGAATACTGGAAGAATATGGGATGCAGCAAACAAAACCTTGAGGAAAGCATGGTGTCAAAACCACAGAGTTCCACTGGGCGAAAGACAGAACCCATCAGCAATCAGAGAACCTTAAAGCCTACTCTTTCTCTTTCTCCAACTGGAAGTAAACCTGAATTCTTTAAAGTCATTCCAGATGTGTCTGAAAAAACTGAAAAATCTGAGGGAGTTTCTGGTCAAATAAAGTCATCAGTCAGCAAAAACTCCCTCAAGAAAGTCTCAAAAGAAAATTTGTGTCTGACAACACAGACTTGTGTAAGTGGTTTTTACTTTGAAGTTAAGTTATTTGATTGTTTAGAGAAGCTGTATTAGATATAACCAACTGCCTGAAATGAGAAACAGTACATCTTTCACCCAGATATATTCTGACTTTATCATAACAGTCTTTACCAAGCTCAGTCTGTTGAAAGTTGGTTTTCTACTTTTTGTTGCGTATAAAACAATACTGTCAGAAACCACAGAGGTTCATAGATACCAATAGATGTAATTCAGCAACTTGCATTTTGGAAATTATGTGTTAGAAAGAAATAAGTCATTTTGAGTACCCCCCTACCCTGCTCACTTAGTGATGTTCCTTGGTGTCACATCTACACATTTCCTGAAAAGCTGCAGGGAAGGACTGGAGCTGACTGCACAACTCTCTGGGCAGCCTGTTCCAACAAAAGCAATTCAAACTGGGCAACAGGTTGAAGATGAGTATCTAGAAAAGTATATGTTCAAGGTCTCAGTCTATCTTTGGTATTAACATGCAGATATTGCCATGCCACTGATACTTCAGTGTTTTTTTTAATGAATTTAGTCTCTCCAATACTGGTGTAAGGGTTTATGTATCATCATCCTCTGAGTCCCTAAGGATTCTAAGAACCTCCTCCTATACTCTGCAAGTTGCTTAGCAGATTTTGTAAAAATACAACATGTTTTCCTGTGAAGAGTGTTGAGACAGGATTCCTTTGTGAAGGAAACAAAAGTGGGAATTAAACACTGTAATGCAGGTAAAAATAAGCATTATTGAGACCTTAAGGCAATGTTGTGAACTTCTGGATAAGAGCAGCCATCCAAGCACATGGTACACTCTTTGACCTACAGGACATAGTTACTGGGTTAGTATTTTTCATCAGTTAGGAAGTTAATAAAATTAGCAATAAAGACATCAATGAAAAATATTGCTAACTACGTGAAGCAACACTGGAGAATTTCATTGGCTGTGGGCATGAAATTATTTGTTTCCATTTTAAAACACTGTTCTTTGTTTTAAGAATTATGTACAAGATAATAGTTTTGTACAAATGGTATTGGACTGAGTGTTCACATAGAAGTAGTCTCTTCTAATCTGTTCAAGCAGAGAACTGGTAAAGTAAAAAATGTTTAACCAACTCTTAGTGCAATCAATTTGCTAACTGCTTAATACATTTTAAGGACCTAGTTGCTTGGAATGTTTTATTCATGTTTTAATAGAGTTCTCTATTATTAAGTTCAAATATTTTTAATTAAGAAAGAAGTGCAGCCCTCTGGGTAATATTGCAACCATGTAGATAGCTGGTAATTAAACTTTCCGCACGTGTAACTACATTAAACAATCCTGAATAAATCATCTGAGCCCATAAGAATGCGAATATCATGTTTGAAAAATATATATAAATTTAAACAAGTTTCGTCAATCTAGCAAAAGATTTGAGAGTTTAATAAAAATGTCTTTTTATCATAAGGGGAAGATACGCAAAAAGACAAGATAAGCTTTTAATTACTAAATGAAATATTCATTTTAGACAAATTTACAAGTATCACGAAAAAATTACTTTTTACATCAGAAGTTTCTTCTACATTTCAAAGTAAACTTCATCTCAAATTCAGTTTTCAGATTCACTCTTTGAAAATCATCCAACATTATGAAAAGTGTGTGAAGAGGCTTTTTTGTAGTGGTCATCTGGAGCTGCAGAATGTGCAGTCCCAGCTATTCTTTTGTAATACAAGGAATTTGTTGTACAGAATATTAGAGATTGAAAGCTTTTATGACACTTCTTATTTCTGAGTACAGTACTTCAAGAGTGAGACCACTGCAAGAAATGTAAACAGACTGACCATTTGAGTTAAGCCAAGAAGTCAGTCAGTGCTAGGAGTTCTTTTGTAAAAAAGAAAATCTAAAGATCTGTGCATCTTTCTTCATTGGCATAAGAGACAAGATCAGAGTCAGGGAATGTTTTGTCTTTATTAGACAGAGGATGAGCAAAACATCCTTTCAGTTCCTAGTGCATTTATTCTGCATGGTGCTAGTTCATTCCTTTAAGGACTGCATGCCAATAGATTCATATGAGGTAAGAAAAATAAGGAAAAGCTTCTCTTATTGTAATTAAATAAATGAATTACAGAAGGTTTCTGCATAGGAAAATTAACAGAAAGTCAACATCTTCAGTAAGATCAATGACAATTCTAGCAGCTGTAGATCTAGCAGAATACTAATGTGCCAAAGCAAAGTGGGCTTTCCACATAGAAAATAGCAAGCTCAATGCATAGTAAGCAAGTAAGTAATAGTAGCTAAACTATTACGTGTGCAAAGGTCTAGAAAAACATGTCAGGTATTATTTTGGAATTAAAAGTAGTAATAATCACAGGACTCGGGAATGAAGCTTGGAGCTCAAAAACCAGAGGTAAAAAAAGAAAAAAAAAGGGTAACAGCTGAGCTAATCGTGGAGCTCATGCACGGAGCAATTCAACCACTGAGCCTAAAATAAATGCTACCATTGTCATTACTTTTTAAATATGTATACACTAGCAAATTACTACAGTAGTCTTTAAAATTTAGTGCTGACATGTAGCTTTCCAGATAAATTTTATGCTGTGCTTCACAAATAACTAACTGTTATGTTGATAGTGTTTATGATACTATGATTAAGTTTATTTCAAGACCTGTATCAAATGTTTAAGCAATTTTAGCTGCTGGATTTTCAAACTTTTAGAATAATAACAATAATAATCATATTTTTATTACACTGGAACAGCAACTTCACCAAATAGCCTGAACCCAACCTGGGGTCAGTCACAGTGCTGTGCCCTCCTTCCTGTAACGATACGTGCCTGATCTTCATAGCTGAGCAGAAATGTGTTAGCTAACCTATTCTAGTAAACATTTTGATTCCCTTCTAGCATTGTAGCTTCTTTAAGATGCCCCAAAAGATCCCCAAAGGCGTTCATTTCATTCATATGTTCTGCTCCATGATCCTGTCCATATTGTTGGCTTCTCTATTTTATTTCACAGGAATATGACTGGAAGAACTACCAGTCAAACAGATTGAGTGCATCCAAACTGCAGATGCTGGCTAGCATGAAAAGGCAACAAAACGAAGAATTGAAGGATACAGGAATCTCACATGGGTTGAGCGCATCACAGATTGACAACTGTAACGTTAACATGAGTACAAGCAGTGATGATACAACAACCTGGAATTCTTGTTTCCCACCAGTAAGTCTAAATCTACAGTATTTTCCCTAAAGTTCTGAGGTTGTTTTTTTTTTTGTATTTCAGGGGTTTTGAATATTAATGTTTCTTTGAGTAGTTTTAAAAACTAAGGTTTCTTTACCAGATGTTTTTTAGAACTCATTAAGTAAAATACACAACCAGAACATACTTGCAGCAGCTTCTATATTACCACCATGGAAAGAAATACCTCCTACTTTTTTCTATCGAAGCTAGAACAGATACCAAGAGCACAACACTATTTGTTAAATCAAAACCCATGCACCAATGGAAGGTGTGATAGTGCCTTCTTCCAGGACAGGAGCCCAATTATAAAGTTATTAGTCAGGATTTAGTTTAGAAAGCAATACAGGAAAAAGCAGCTTACCCTTTCTAAAGACTGGTGGAGACCCAAGAAGGATACCATCTTAAAAAAGAAATATTGTTCCTTGCTACTAACCCTTAAATGAGGGTGGACCCTGTGTCCACCCCTTCTGGTCACTAAGGAGGCATTGCTTGCATCTGTGCTCCTGGATTAGCCATGCCTTCTCACCTGGTGTTTTATAGCTGCTATGATTACATCATTCTAGGAAAAATGTTGCCAACACAGTCCAACTTTCACTGTGTTCACACCCATCATTTGGTCTCCATAAACAATTGCAAGCATTGAAGAATATTAGTGGGTGCCATTTTATCCAGATGGAGGAATTCAGTGACATACTTTTGCTTCATATGTGCTTCCATGTCAGATGCTATTCTGTCAGGCTGCCCTTCTGCTGCCATCTGTCACAGCAACAAAATGGAAGAGAATATTGATGGGAAGGTTCAGCCTCTGTTGCCACATCACCAACATCCACCTCTGACTTTGCAGGCCAACATAATAAAATTGGAGGCATTACTTTCAGAGCAGCCCTGGTCTATATTCTTTCTTAGAATCCTAAATAATCACGTAGGCTGTACAGCTTGTCAGTAGCAGCTGACAACCTGCAGATGCATGATACAGCACTTAGAAATATCTTCGGAATGAATGAAACCCATACATACCAGTCAGCAATTGCTTTCCAGTATGAGTAATGGAGAACAATTGCTTCTTACAGTGATAAAGTCTCATTACTGAACAGCTAACTGTTTAAAGGACCGAAGCAGGAGAGCAATGTCAAAAAGCTGCAGTAGTTCTGAGCACTTAGTGTGTGATCCTTCTGTATTTTACACCTTGTATCATTATTTGTCCTGGCCCAAAGTGCTACAAAATCTCACAGCTGCACTATGTGACAGAGTGCTGTTATAAGGAGAGTATTTGTTACAGTCCACTGAAGAGTATCGAATGTATGAAATCAGGGCAGAGCATTCCAGCAACTATAGCAAGGTATTTGCAGGAGCTGCTGTAAAACTTGATAACCTCACACTCCATTTATATCGCAGCAAAATAGCTCTTACTTTATTACAGGTGAAACAATAATAAATAATGAATGTGTCTTAAGTAAAGCCCACAGCTCTCAGAGGCAGCTCCAGTATTAGGAGAGTAAGCACTGCTGTGTGCCCCAGTATAAATTCTTGTAGGGTAAATGCTCTGAAATGTTAGCTGCAAATTATCTCCAGGAACCTACAGAGCCCAGATGGAGTCCTGTAGTCTGGACAACACTCAGTCGTATGGTCTGATTTTGGGGTGGACCTGCATGGAGCAATTGATGGTCCTTATGGGTCTCTTCCAGTCTGGGATATTCTGTGATTCTAAAGGATTTAGTACTTAGTGAAGCACAAGCTGATTGCCAAGAGAGCTCTTTGATCTCACTGCCTTCATAGTTTCTGGATGCTTTCACACAAATAACATCAGTTTTAAAAAGTGTTCGTATATAATAGGTTAGTCGTTTAAATTGTAATTTAGCATAGCTGTAGTGTTCTGTTGGCTTGGAAGTCTAGAAATGTCTGCTAATTTCATATAGCTGTTTTAGTGAATCCCCACACTTAGCATTCACATGTGCAGTAAACGTATTATTCTGTGCAGAGAGAGACTAAATAACTGAGAGATCAAAATGCAGCCTATCCAGAGCAATTAGAGCACGTTTGAATGTTGTTCCTGCTGGATTTCAGTCTTCTGTTTTTATGTCCCCTCATCTTTACTACTGCAATTGTTCAAGCTGAATTGAGAAAATTTGCAGATGATCAATCCCTCCAAAATCCAACATACAAACTGTAGGAAAGTTTGTATGTATCTGCAGCCATCTACCGTTGCTTTGTCAAATGATTTTAGCCGTACAGGAAAGAAAGAGAGGTAATCCTCATATCATAGCTTGAGAAATCAGGGACAGTTTGCAATTCTTGTAATGATTAACCTTTCATGCTTCCATGTGTTTCCAGGTAGTATCTTTCTGATTATTTAAATCAGTATTATCTACTGCTTTGCCTTGTGGTCTTCCAAGATAATAATAAAAAGTATTTTTTATTCTAAATTTTCGTTCATCTTATAGAACCTTTTTGTACCTTGTTTGAATCTATGGCAACAGCACCACCAGAAGGCAGATTTTTGTGTCTCTTTCATTTTGAAATACATACAGTGTTTTGTGAGGCAGTGCAGTATATAATCATGTTTAACAGTGAACATACATAAGAGTAATATTTTATAAATCAAACACATTTTTAGTTAGTTTGTTTTTTCCATCACTTGCCTCTGTCAGTGTGATTTCCAGATTCATTGAAAATTTTCATTTATTACTGACTAATGAATTTCAGCAAGCTTCTGAAGTAAAGGCACAAAGATCCATCATATTGCTAAGCTGCAGTTAGAACAGATGTCCTTAAAAAACTATAAAACTGATATACTAAAACTGTATTTTACAACCTATGATGGCTTAGCAAGAACTGAGTATATGCTGTCAGGAGAAATTGTTGGAATGCAAGTTGTTTAGCAGCTGCTGTAAACCATGACAGCCAAAAAGAAATAAAATAGCTTTGAATATTACACATTACCCAGCATAGCTATCAGCTATAAATATAAACTGCTTCTTTTTTTGAAATGAATTTTACTTCAAAGGAGAACTGCGAATCCGTGCAAAGAGTGAGTGGGGCACAGGGCAGAGTTCCAAATTAATGATAAATATATGTAGAACTAAATATTTTAAGAAGATGATATTTGACTGAATGCTTTCTGAAATTTCAAGATATATGAAGTTCAGTGTTAGCTTTGCAACAACGTGCAAGACAGTTCTATGTATTGCAGAGTATAATGTGAAGTTTATATCCACACATATGCGTATTATCCAAGAATTGTTGGAAAGCTTAGGAAATAACTCTGCTTTAATGCCTTGCTCTGTTTTGGAGATCCAGTGAGATCTTCCTGCCCTGTCAGGGAAATTCAGTTTCTTGGGTTGCTGTGTCCAGACAACATCAGACATCACTTTAGATGCAACATAACCATCTTGGAGCAAGATCACATATAAGAGAGTTCAGAATATCTTCCTGTGCTCCCTTATTCTCAGTCAGAAATGCAAAGGACAATGAATTGTAGAATCATAGCATTGCTGAGGTTGGAAATGACCACAAAGACCATCAAACCACCCCCACCATACCACTGCCCACATCCCTCAGTGCCACATCTTGAACAGGGACGGTGACTCCACCACTGCCTGGGCAGCCAGCTCCAATCTATGAAGATTGCCTCAGATTGTTAATTGATGAACCCTAAAAGCTAACAGTGGTGTAATGCTCTGTTATTAGACTCCAGAATATGGTCACCACTTAGATGTGTCTTTCAAGTACGGAGTACACACTGAACACTACAACTACTTGTTCCTCAAGCAACTGCCTAAATGTAAATTCAATCAAATAGGTTTTGAATGAGAAACCATTTGAAATTTCAAGGTTCTCACTTAATTTTGGGAAGGTCTTCTGCCCTCCATTGTGATGATTCAGAAAAGAAAACACTTAACACAGAAATGGTCTGACAGAACTGAAGTCTGACAGACAGGAGGAGTGATATTTAAACCCAGAATTATTCCAGCTGAGAGCTCAGTTTGACAGCCCCTGGAGGGATCTATTCACATCAAGTCAAATTGCAAAACAGAGGCAGACTATTCTTTACTATGAAATGAGACTAAAAATTATTTAGACAGATATTTTGGTTCATAGACTGACTAATTTACCTTCTGTCTCATCCATAGTCTTCCACTAGCCATCACTTGGGAACTGCACCATCCATGACCAGGCAGTGACTTATATTTGGCAGTAATTAGAATGTCATTCATCCCAAGCATACCATCTCTCCCCACTTCCTCAAACGATGAGAACATTCTCTTTTTAATTAATTTTGATAAAGATGCAGTTCCTTTCATAATACTTAGTATTTAACATCACACTAACTAATCTGTACAGGTATTTTTAACGCATGCTCATATTCTCACTTGTTTCTGCATTTGCTTCAGTGGTTTGTTTAGAGCTGTCCTGATGCACTGCATGATGTGTGGGGTCTTACCTGCAAACATTACATATATTTTGAGACAAGGTGTATTTTTATATTTTTTATATTAGTTTATGAAAATCATTATGAAATTATTTCTGACAAATAGCTGTTTTAACGCCAGAGGCATCAAATAATTTAATATAAAACTTTGGGGGCACATTATTACTATTGTTGGTAAGATTCAAACATTTTTTTATCAGAAATGACCATCACACTTCCCTCTCTGTGTCCTGGCCCTGTCCCCACGCTCACAGACAGCAGAGAAATGACTGCGTGGTCACCTTCATCCATATGTATTTCCACCCAGATAAGAATCATCTGTTAAGTTATACCCTTGCACAGTTAGGATCTGAATATCCCTTTTAAATTTCACAGATAAGACGAAAGACCATAAAATTCCAATATCAGAAGCTGCAAATGCGTATCCTTATAAAGGATCTCTTACATACTTTCAAACGTTCTGAAAGAATATTTGCAAAGTTATTTTCTCACTGTTATTTTATGTTTTCCATAGCCCGTCAGTCAGGAGCATCACTATCAGAAAGAAATGAGCCCACTTTCACATTCCAACCCACGGTAAGATTCCATTTATAGCCCAGGCAGTAAGAATTCAGAGTGTTCTGAATACTAAATGTGACGTTCTTTGATTTAATCTTAAATCTCCTTTCGGTTGCAGCCTCCTCTCAAAGAGCTTTACTATTGCTCTTTTTAGTCATTGTCTACAGGCTGCAGTAAGTCTGCACTGTCCCAGAATGCAGGGTTGGATTCAGCATGGTTGAGATGTACCCTGTATATTTAAAGGAACCAGCACAGCCCTTGCTCCTACACGTGCTTTGATGCGTGATTCAGCAACTCTTCTTCATCTGACATCTATACACTCTCACCTGTTTCTTTCTCTGTCTGTCTCTGCTTTGTAGGCTCAGAAGTAAAATTGCACTTGTGACTCCAGGTGTCAGGGAATCCATTTGTTAGAAAAGATTTTACTGTTACTTTCTTGGAAAGGACTTTTCAATAGATAACCCAGCCTGGACAAGGTGCTGTGTAATAACACTGTGGGATAGTTCAAACCAATCCTGTCTACAATGTATTTTGGATGTCACGTTTTTGTCTTATCTGTTCTGTTTGGAGTCAGCACCAAAAGCCCAGCGACTTTAATGTAAGATAAGATGGGGATGTCAAGACAAGGGGAGATGGTGGCTAAAGAGAAGCAGTGAACATTCAGACAGCCAGATTGAACTGTCCTGTTTCAGAATTGCCTTGCACCAGTGAAAGCCCAGCATCACTTAGCCAGTTCTTGAATAGCCTGAGCAGGAGGTGAACTTAAATTTCAAAGCTTCCCTTTCTGTTGGTGTGATTAACACAGATTTTGCATGTCTGAGTTTTAGCTGGACAATACATGCATGCTGGAAGGGATATGAGGAGAGGGTATTTTGGATATGACTGCAAGATAACTTGCTTGATTTCTTTTCAGGATACCAACAGTGTGAAATTTTATGACAGTGCACCGCCAGCCAATTGTGCCCCATAATATGCATTTCTCCTCACACAGATGTTTTCAGTCACTTGTTTTACTTGCCATCCATGTTTTTATTATCTTCTTGTTAGATTTTATGGAGTGAACACTATGAAACTTGCAGTGCAGGTTCATCCAGATGCATCACTTATTGCAACATACAGCCATATGTTTCTTAGTACACTCAGTGTATTACTGGAGTTAAAGTACAAGCCTGGATTCCTGTCCCATTTCATAAGTAAACCTAAGTGCCAATATTGTTCTAGAAAACCTCTCCACCTTCCATGCTACTTACCCAAGGAGCTATCTCTATCCTTTCTAATTGTTACAGTGAACAGAGTGGATGGAGAGACTTGACTATAGCCCACAGGTTAAGTTATCTGGTACCTTGCAACTGACCAGGACTCCTATTCCAGAATTGATTTCCCAATTCTGATGGTGTAAGAAAAGCCTACATTTTAGCACAAACTGCATTGCTTTTCTATTTCCAGCCAATAGGTTGAATCAGATTTTATTATTCTTATTCATGTGATAAAGCAATTTGGCACTCAGTATGTTTTATATACTGAAAAAGAGAAGAAGCACCATTATCTGTAAAAATAAAGCATTTCAGTGTATTGAGTTTAGATGATCACCAATGAAAACTTATATTTCCATATAATAAAATCTAAAACAAAATGGCATAAACTACAACTTTGTTCTCAAGCTATTTTAATCCAGTACAACAGCAGACAAATTTACCTAGAAGTCATTTTCGAGAAATGCGGGCAAAGTATTCGTAAAGTACCTGAATACTTGGAAGTGCCTCATAAATTCAGTAGCCCTTGTGAACTGCCAGAAAAATATTATTGGGCTGTAAATAGAGAAGATGACAAAATTATGAGGTCAGTTTGCATCATGGTGTAAAAACTGGAAAAGATGTGTGTGGAATATCATGATTCACATTGTTAACTTTCATTTATAATGGAAAACTTAGTAATGTTTTCCACTGAGGGTATGTGTGTGAGAGAGAGAGCAAATTAATGGTAATCTTATAACTTAGTACTTAAGGTATTTTTTAAAAGCCTATTTTAACAAGTAGTGTATGGGTAAGTGGAAAATACCTCAATCTTGGTAAGCCTATGATAGCTATGAAAGCAAACACGTGAGAACATCTGAAAATCTGATGTATCACGTGTAGGTCAGTGGGTATAAATGTCATGGTATGAAGGGATTTACATTATGTACTTACTGATAGAACAAATAGTTTGTTGTAAAGAACAATAAAGAACGTGACAAGTCTGAAGTAACTTTAAAAGTCGTATCAGTGGTATTTTCTGGGAAATTGAGAGAGCAACGTAGCCACTATTGTCCAGCAAGTGTAGCTTCTGTCCATTAGAAGATAAGCCAGGAAAGAAAGCATCTGTGAAGATAATGGAAATACAGTCAATAAAAAGACCCAGCTAGGCTCATTTTCCATTGGATCCACTGGGTGAAGGTCATAAGTCTGCCAAGAATATTGCTGCTGCAGTACAAATCATGCCCACATCATGCTGCTTTGCAAGGCGCAGAACCAGTGAATGAAAGGAGGCAGACGGACTGCAGAGGCTACAGAGCCAGATGAGAAGAAGGTGTGTGGTGTCTCGGGCCTTAGCTCTGCAGATCCCCAGGCTGACTGATCCGAGCTGAACCCCATAACTGCTTCTTTTCCCTCCAGATAGGAAACTGATTAGCTGTTACTTCTCCCTCCAGAGCAGGGGCTGGAAACTGCTATGATTACTTAGCAAGCATTTCAGCAGCATTGTCCTCCAAAATATTTGTGTGGCGTAGATTTGGAAGTTGCATTAAAGGAAATGCTGAAAGGAAGTTAATATCAGAGAGGAATTGCAGCAGTACTGAACTGCAAAATGAGAAACTGTTCTGTAAAAAAGATATTTAGCCTAATTGTATGAATAGATTTTCCGAACTACAGATGCTCTTCAGAAAATTTATTTCTGATAAAAGCTGATTTTCCATCTTTGAGAGATATTTTTTTAAGTTGAAATCTGTCTTTATAAGCATTGCCTCACCAGCTCCTCAGCTGGCATCCTGCTCAGCTCTTCCCAATCTACCAAATTAAATTTGTTCCTCTGAAGTTCAAACAGCTGTTCACAGAAACCATGCGAGGGCAGGACATAAATATTTCAGCACATCATTAGGTATCTTTTCTAAGGAAGTATGTTTTACTTCAGTAATTTTATATAAAACGTACACAGGCAATTTTTCATTTAGGTTGTACCCAGACATTTGGTTCTATATGTTTAAAAAATGTGAATTCCCATAGTGAATTGTGGGCACAAAGGTTTGATGATAGTAAATATCTGCCTGATTTGGGCTATGGCCAAGAACACGAGATCAGCTCATACAACACAGGCTTCATTGTACGAGAAGGCTTATTTGTCAGTGGCATCCAAGTAAAAAATGAATGATGAAGCCATGTTTCATTCGCAAATTATTATTTTTTTAATTAGTTGCTGGTGGGTTTCATATATTAACAGCTCAACATCAACAACCTTCCAAAGTGTGGAATGACAGCTTTTCCTAGGCTGACTGCAATCTGCAGAAGTTCATTAGTGTATCAGTCAAAGAAAATGATCTTTTGAAGCATTGTCTATAGCTCTGCTGTGGACTTCATCCTGCAAGAAACTGACAAAGCTATGTGATGTCATTTTGCCACATTCCCATCTACTCTTTCCAGTGTCTTGTACTTGTCTGTGATTCTCTGACCTGTGTTCACATCAGTTATTATCTCTCTAAGTTTTGCTATGAGAAGAGAGCATTACCATTGCTCTGAAGTGATAGGATTCAGGACCTGCAAGCCAGTTCCTGCTTCTGTGAAATGTTCATTTTTACCTTAGTTTCCATCATGGTTTTGTTACAAACCAAAAAGAATCAGCTTAAAACCAAGGAACACATTTGGTTCATAAAATGTTAAGGAAATCCAATGATATTATGAAGTGTTTATGGGAAATAGATGATGCAGTTCAGGTTGGCTTTTTGTCTAGATTTACATGCTATCTATGAAAAGTGTCACACTGTACTGTAGTTTAAATCCTTGAAGCTTTGCCTCTTGTGGATGTGATAGGAAGTTCTTTGTCTCTATAACAGGCTGATAAGGGCCTGCAGTCATTGGCAGATGATGAATAGTCATTGACCTCACCTGACATTGGCATGGTGCAGGCTGACTAAAGCAAGCTGTCCTGTCATTGTAACCTACCATTCCATTAGAATCTGTCTGTCGTCTTCTTCCTTCAAATACAACCCAAAGGAAGAAAGTAAAAACATTTTCTTGTCTTTTTTTGGTGAAGGTATCTCTCCAGTGGAAATAATTCATATCCATATAACAAAAAATGAACGAGCAGTAGTTGCCTTTTATGACTGCTCCCTATTAATTTTAGAAAGTAAATTATTTTTCCCGCTTTCTTATAAAGTTTCTGGTACCAGTCTTTTTCATAACCTACTCCTGCTATAAATGTTGCTATGATCACAGCACATGAAATTTGTGTACAGTATCAACAGTTCCAGCACACAACCATAAACTTTGCAAACTCTGAAGTACAAAAACTAAAGATACGTTCAGTTTTTAGGCTCCCATTTAGGTTTCTCATCTGCCCCAGAAGAAAATTAAATATGCCAGCAGCTGATGCATGTCGTCCTACCACTCATATTCAGTTAAGATTAAGCTCACCTATAAAGTGAGCAGCAGAAGAAGGATTGTAGTTATAACATTTATTTGTGCTACACCAGAACTGCATGCTGTAAAATTCAGTTGTAAAACATATTTGTCTCCCATATTTCCAGGCAAGGGCGTAAATAGTCTAATAGCTTAGAGTTGAGAAGGGAATTTAAAGAATGAGTTTTACAAACAACGAAGCATATTTATTTTTTTGATTCATTAGAAGATTGAAGTCATACAACCCCATTATTTCTGCAAAACAGAAATTATTACATTAGGAACTATTAGGAAATTACACAACAGTTGTCAAAATAAGTGAACAAGAACAACGTATCATAAAATGTACTTTGCTTTTTCATTGTACTTGTT